ACTCCTGTATCCCTTGGGTAAATTCCTAGCAGTGCTACTGCTGGGTCATAGGATAGGTCTATTTTTAATTTTTTGAGGAAACTCCACACTGTTTTCCAGAGTGGCTGCACCAGTTTGCATTCCCACCAACAGTGCAAGAGGGTTCCCATTTCTCCACATCCTCGCTAGCATCTATAGTCTCCTGATTTGTTCATTTTGGCCACTCTGACTGGTGTGAGGTGACATCTGAGTGTGGTTTTGATTTGTATTTCCCTGATGAGGAGTGACGTTGAGCATCTTTTCATGTGCCTGTTGGCCATCTGGATGTCTTCTTTAGAGAAGTGTCTATTCATGTGTTCTGCCCATTTCTTCACTGGATTATTTGTTTTTTGAGTGTGGAGTTTGGTGAGCTCTTGGATACTAGCCCTTTTGGACTCTCTTTTCTACTGCAATAGTATACTACTGATTAAAAGCTGTCCTGACCATTGTAACCCGTGTGGGGCATTATTTATCTTTGAACACACACACACACACACACACACACACACACACACGGCAATTTAGGCTGGGGATGCACAGGTCTCTGCTCTAATTGGGGTCATCTGGGATAGCTCCAAGGCTGGGGATTTGAATAATCAGAAGGCTCTCTCACAAGTCCAGCATTTGCAGCTGGCTGTGTGCTAAGACCTCAGCTGAAGCTGTCAGTTCCAGTATTTCCACAGTCCTTCACATTGCCTGGGCTTCCTCACAACATGGCCACTGGGTGCCAAGGGGGACCTTGTTAGTGACGCAACATCACTTTCAGTGTATCATATTCATAGAGGCACCCACAAAGTCCTGCTCAATCTCAAGAGAGGTGGAAGTTTGACTCTACCTCTAGGTGTGGTTGTGGCAAGGTTCTGGAAGGGCAGATGGAGCAAAATACTGCTCTAGCCACTTTGGGAAAATCCAGTTTGCCCTAGTTATAACCTCACATCCTATGACGTAATTCTTACCTCACTCTACTTTGTATTAATCATTTTCATACTTGTCTAATCTTCCCTATTATCCATAAACTGCTAGATGGCATCATCTACAGTGACTTGCAAATGGTTGACTTACATACAGTTTTGACCCTAGATTATGAGGTAGTTTCATGAATATAATTTCCTTTCAGTAAAGATGTGTGAAATTGAAAGTCTAATTGACAGAAGGAAAGTTGTTTGCACTTCTCTTTACTTTCTATTTCTGCTACAACTCCATCTTTCAAGTAAGAGCCTGGAATAAACTTTGACACCCTAGATCACTGCTGTGAATTACCCTTTCAACATCCCTCAGTCTTTCTGCTACTACGTGCTACTCAGGACTTTTTCTTGTATAACCACAATATGCCACCTAATCTACAGCTGTCAGGAATCTCACTCTACCTTGACATCCCACACTGTCTTAGTACATCCAACAAGAACATTTCTCCCTACGTGTAAAATACTTTGTCTTCTCAAATAGATGGTTAGTCCAACTGAGGACAAATGGCAAACCATGTTCTCTCTTCTTCCTGTGTATTTCTAATGTCCAGAACAATGCCATATATGCAGATGTCCAATAAACTATTGAGGAAATACCATTCTACTCTTACAGGGTCATTTCTTATTTTTGTTCATTTGTAGCCTGTTCTCCATATGAATCAGAGAAGACACAGGGAAACAGCTCTAGAGTAACACACTTTTACTAAAAGTTTTCTAAAATTAACTGATTTTGCAAATGTCAATTGGGGAAATGACAGTGTGCTTTAGACTGTTTTATCAGATTTAAATACAACCATGACAATGAACTACAACTTCCATAGAGTAATTTAGGAGTTGTTTGTGTCATCATGGGTTATAAATATTGAGGATTTAAGCATGTTGTCCAAATGTCCTGAAATTATGATGGTTTTAGCCTGAAACTTATGAGAAGCTGAAGATGAAAACCAAATACCCAAGTAAATCCAAGAGAAATGGAGGTGAAGCTTTTGGAACCCCAGGATCTAAAAGTCTTGACTCTTATCTGTGACTTCCTTCCTGTATAACCCCTAATTTCTTTCAACTGTAGTTCCTCAGTTTTGTAGAAGGGATACGATTTCTATTGTCAGTCAAGGAATTTTTAAATAATAAAATTTCAGAGGTAATTACAGTCAGGCTAAAAGAGGTTATGCTTTAGAATATTTTCCTCATAGTATGCAGACAGAAAACTGAGCAAAATGGTTCTTTTTTTAAATGGTTTATTTATGTTTGAGAGACAGAGACAGAGCAAGTATGGAAGGGGCAGAGACAAAGGGAGACAGAAGATCTGAAGCCGGCTCCACACCGACAGCAGAGAGCTCAATGCAGGGTTCGAACTCACGAATCATGAGATCATGACCTGAGCTGAAGTCGGACGCTCAACCAACTGAGCCACTCAGGCGCCCCCCCCACCTCTTTTTTAATGTTTTATTTATTTTTGAGAGATAGAGAGAGCGAGTAGGGGAGGGGCAGAGAGAGAAGGAGACAGAGGAAAAATGGTTCTTAAGGAAGAAAAATTTATTTTACAATGAATACGTCACCTGAGACAAAATGAACATTTTTTTCATGGTTGTTAAAATTTCTATTCACTGAATACCCCATTTAAGTCTGCTCTTCATTGAACATGAACTTAATTAGCATAGATATAAACAGGACACAAATATCACATTATCGAATTTCTCTGAGAAATATAATAAAATATTTTTATTTTACTTTGTGATTATATTTTTATCCCATACTTTCTAATGAGACTATTTGATTTGGAATTCTTTAAATGGTCCCTTCCTACAAGGTGATTCAAGATGCTGACCCGTGTTGCAATCATGATTGAGAGTAAGAAGGTTAAGATACACGAGACATCTTCTTTTTCAGAAGACACATTTGATGGCTTGAGGTGGAGAAGTGTAATAAGATACCAGAGATGAAAAGTTAGAAATTTGGAGAAATCTAAACTGAACTTAAAAAAAAATGAAAAAAACAAACCAGTTTTCCATCTCATTATGTGCTTAAACTTTGAAATGTTTAGCCAAGAGATCTGAAAAACATGACAGTGCTTTTATGTTTTTCCAGTTCAGTATACCACATTGAAAACCATTCTCATTAAAGGGACCTTTGTAATTTTACCGATTTACATGCATGGCACAAAGTTACGTGATTTATAAGGCCTGACACAGGAAGGAAGCATTAAGGTGCGTAGGGATAAAACAAGGATGTGAGTTTTACAGAAATATTAAATCAATACACTAACGCATACGTTTAAGATGTGAATCATGAATCCACTCCTGTGGCCAGAATAACCTACACATCGATTCTGAAAGACATTACCAGCTGCCAGGAAAAGTGCCCCAGCATGTCCTCCATCACCTCTGAGAAAAACGTCATGGCACAGGAATGGTAGATGGCCGAGTCTCTGCAGCACCGAGCCACGTAAAGCTACACCATTTGCTGCCGTTTAGTTATGTGTCCACAAAGTTTCAGAAGTAACAGACTGGGTTCGTGATCTCTGTAAATCCCCAAGTACCTGGTGCTGGGAAGTCTCCAGCATCAAAGTTAAAAAGCTCCTTAAACACTGTGAATGAACATCACATCACGTTGTCATACCTTTCAGAAGTAAGACTGACTGACCAGGAGCTGAAATCCCCACATCAGATACCCAAAGTCAATTAAAAATATCAAGATAACAATTTAGGGGGGGAAAGATACTATGTAGCCCACAAATCAATTTCATTGTAGCTAAAACTCCTTAGTCATACTGTGCAAAAAGATTATACATCCAGAGACTTGTATTGAATGGGACCGATATATAAGGACAACGGGTGAAAACAACTATCCTGAAAAACACGAATCAGGACTAATATGGTTTTGCTGCAGCATTTGGTGAAACATTCTTCACAGTGGCTGCAAAGCAGCACTAGGTATTACGTCAAAAGAAAATACTGGTCGTCACAATGGCAGAATTAATGAAGTGACATGCATCAAGCAAACAAAGAAGTAATGTTGAGGTCATCTGGATGGAGCTGCAAATTCCAGCTAACAAACTTTTCCTAACAAACTTTTCCACCTAATGAACTAGTTAGCTAATGAGAAAGAGTGGCCTGAAAAAATCTGGTTCATTGAATTAGCTCTACAACTCAGAACCAAAACAAAACACTGCTGTACCTTTAAGGCTACAATGGACTGGTCAGATTCATGTATTCATGGATAATTCATGCCCTTGGCTATTCCACATACTCTGATTAAACTGCCCCCATGAATCCCAACATCTTAGAGGAACATAGGCTTTTCATGTTACCTAATGGAAGGGGAGAGTACAGAAGCAAGCCTTTCTTTTCACGGAAGTTTTCTTAAAGGAAGTAGTAGTGATTCGAAGGACACCATCAAGCAAAGGTCTTGGTGAGGACATCTTCATGCTGCTGCAGGTGAAGGGCGCCAATTCCTACAGCGGGTGCTGGCAAAGGGGGTCGGCTCACAAGACGGAGCTGTCATTGGAGCAGAAAAGAAATACAATGGCATTTGAACCTGAGGAGAGCCCTGCTTCCTTCTCCCAAGGCAGTCCATGCATTTCTCTTAGCTTGTTTAACCACAAATCACCTTTTGGGCAAAATAATGAGTTACCTAGAATAGACTGGAAGGAGATGTTTGTCACAACTAAAAACTAAATTCCAGGCACCATGAGGTGAGATGAATTCTTGAATTATGTCCTGTTCTTCAGTAATTATTAGTTGGTTTAACCTGCAGATTTTCCTAAATTAGAACTATCTATAGGTGAAAATGACTTGGGCCCAGCAAACTAGTAACAAATGTGTAAACTGAGTCCTGATCGAAGCAGAATAGGAAGATAAACAGAAGTACATTTGCTCTTCTCATTGTTCTTCCCTTCCTACAACATGATCAGGAAGAATTTGGCCTTTGATGGATGCCAGCTATGCAGATGAGCCTGGGACAAGTGTTACTGGGCACCTTTTCTCCCACATTGTAAAATAAACCCGCTCATCACCCTGCTCCCCAGGGCTGGATACTGAGCTTTTACTGTTTGAAGGATAATCATTTTTTTCTTACATGATACTAGCATGTACACATATGTGTCTTTCTTGATAAACATGCAACATTTTATTCTGAGAAAAGAGCCTAAAATTAGATTTTATGTTTTTGTTTATCTTTAAAACAACTGGAGGGGCGCTTGGGTGGCTCAGTTGGTTAAACACCCAACTTTGGCTCAGATCATGGGTTCACGGTTCATGGGTTCCAGCCCTGCATCAGGCTCACAGGGGACAAACGCATTTCTTGGTGCTCCAGGAGAAATAACACACATACACAAAACATTACAAGACAGAAAGCCATTACCTTGCAGGCCAGTTGCTTTTCAAACCTGGGAGAAACAAAGCACCATGGACCCATGTTCTGAGGCTCCTCCTGACTCCAAATAAAATCTATAACAGAAGAAAGTTCATTTCAGTATTCCACACACACACACACACACACTCTATACATATATATATATGTATATATATATGTATATATACACACAGTTAATATACATACACTATGTATCTACACACACAGACACATCATATCCATTTTTATACACATATGTACATATATAGCGTGTATGTATGGATAGCTCTCCTCAAGTAAATATATGCCTTTCCAATATGGCATAGTGTTACTTGGCTTTTTTTTTTTTTTTTTTTTTTTTTTTTTTTTTTGACAAATGTGTAGTCATGTATCCAGCACCTCACTTGTGATACAGAAAAATTCTATCAATCCCCCAAATTCCCTCAACCTGGCCCTTTCAAGGCAACCCCTCCACCCACCCAACCTCTGGCAACCACTGATCTTTCCTCTCTCCCTATAGTTTATGCCTTTTCCAGAACATCAGATAAATGGAATCATAGTATGTAGCCTTTGGTTCTGGCTCCCTTGAACTGGCAAAATCCATTTGTGATTTTGCCTGTAGCCATAGGTCACGCTCTTATTCCTGAGCAGTAGGTATTGTAAGAATGTAACATGGATTATGTATCCATCCGCAGGTTGAAGGATGTGCTGGTAGCTTGGGGCAATTATGGATGAAGCTGCTATAGACATTTTTCTGTGAACATGTTTTCATTCCTCTTGGACAAATACCTCCAAGTGAACCGCTGGGCTGTACGGTAACTGTGTGTGTAACATTGTAAGGAACTGACACGTTTCCAGAGTGACTACACCAGTTTCCATTCCTTCCTGCAGTGAATGCAGGTTCCGGGTGCTTTGCTTCCTCATCAGCCTTGGATACAATTAATACTTATTGTTTTAATTTGAGCCATTCTAATAGGTGTGTAGTCGTATCTCATTTGGGTTTCACTTGCATCTCCCTTATCACTGATTATAGTTGTGCATCTTTTTTTTAATGGTTGTTTGCCCTCCCATTCTTTGGTTCAAATCTTTTGCACATTTTAAAAACTGGGATTATTTGTTTTTCTTACTATTGAGTTTTGGACACTCTCTGAACAATCTGGATAGTCCTTTGTCACATATGTATTTGCAAATACTTTCTCCCAGTCTGCGTCTCGTCTTTCCATTTGCTCTGCAACACCTTTCAGCAGTGCAAAAGCTTTTCGCTTTGATAAAGTCCAATTTTTCTGTTATCTGATACTCTTTTAGTGTTACATCTAAGAACTTTTTGCCTAACGGAAGGCCATGAAGGTTTTCTCCTAGAAGTTTTAGAGTTTTACGTTTTACATTTAGGTCTGTGATCTTGAGTTAATTTCTGTACCCAATGCATAGAGATGTCCAGTTATTCCAGTCCAATTATTGCAGCCAAAAAAAAAAGCCTTGCCTTTTACAGTTACATCAATTTATCCAAAGTAATAATATAGCAGAGATTACCTCCAGCCTCTCAAGAAATGACATGTCTTAAGTGAGAGAAGGGGAGACTGAAAGGGATACCAGAAAAGACAAAGAGACATTGGCTCTAGGAGTATTTTTTTTTTTCATATTTCTAGACTCCAAGGTTGTTTCCTAATGACTCTCTCTGCCCCCAAACCTCTTTTCACATGAGATAGCTGGAATAGGTTTCAGGTATCTGAATCCAGAAGAATCCCAACAAGACCAGTGCCATACCTTTAACATGTTTGTATTTGCTCATCTCTTGCTGTAACGAATCCACTGGGAAAGGACAGAGTTCTTCTAATCGGATGATGGCAAAGTCACCCTTCTTGGCCTCCAAGGATTCTCTTTGCTTCAGTAGGGCATAGAAATGTTTGCCACAGCAGAACACTAGACTTTTAACACTGTTGGGTAGAAAAGGGACAACGTGGTAGAGGAGAAATGTCTGAAAGAATTGTATCAGAAAAGGAGGAAACCACGCAGATGAAAATGCTTCATTACTGAAGGAGTGGGGGTCTCTGTAGCTGGGTTCAGTCTCACGCTGTGCCCTGGCAAGTCTTATCCAGCAATGTATGCCTCTTCCGCACATATTCTAACTCCTACCCCATGGATGCAAAGGACTTTCTTCTATCAGGATACTGGAGATTTGGGTCACTTTGGGCTCCTTAACATGAACTAGTTTTCCCACTAATTAAAATTCTACCGCAGAGTATGAGAACGGAGATACACATCAAATTACTTTTTGGGATCCACAGATGAATCACCAATGACCGGCTTGAATGTTGTTCCTGGTGCCATTTCGTGAAGACTTGATACGGCTGCCTAAGGAGAGGGAAAAAGGCCACAAATCTAGCAGCTGAAGGCAAGGAGCCAAAGATGCCTTACTTACAAGGGATCTTTACCAAGAAATAACAACAAATTTCCCTCCTAGCATTATATGTAAACATGTGTACTAATAAGCACAATATCTTTCCCAAAAATATCGATTCTGTTTATTTCAGAATAAAATTATTTGTTCAAAGTGACTTAAAATTGCCTATTGTCTGATGCCACAATAACATTTTAAGAATCAACATTTCAGTTCAATCACACTTGAATATCCATCAAAAGTATGCTTTAATTTCTTGGAATTGGAGGGGGCAGTTCATGGAATCTGTGAATGAAAACAGCTCAGCCAGGGCAATGATTTCTGTCTTTAGGATTTTAACCATAATTTATAAGTGAAACCTAATGAGTCACAGAACAAACCAGGAACAATACACAAATATTTCTGTGATGAAAAGAAATGGTATTAAGGAGTTCAATTTAAATAAGTACTTGTTGCAAAGAACTCAGAATAGACCATTAATGAGGGTAAGGTTGGGGAGTGGATTCCATTTCCTCATCTAGTTCATTTCCCTATAGTCTAGTCCCAACTGGGAAGGTGACACTTTGACTGGGCCACTGATAGGCAGCCTCGCTGACACAAGACACTGTGATGTAACCTAAAAAAATAATATTAGCGAAGAGAATAAAATAAAAATGAATATATATTATAAAATAAAATGTATTATATTTATATATTACATGAGTTATAAATAGATACATTATATATAAATATATATTCTTTATTTATTCTTGTTGCTCAATAATGCACAATAGAATCAATCTTTTTCCATCCTGAACCAGAGCCCTTGGTCAGCTCACACTTCCTATGGTGGGAATCAAAAGGGGCTGGAGGGGCACCTGGCTGGCTTAGTCAGTAGAGCATGTGACTCTTGATCTCTGTTCAAGCCCCGCATTGGGTAAAAAGCTCACTAAGAAAAAAAAAAGGAGCTGGAGTTGAGAGCTGGGTGGGAAATTGGGGTAGAATTTAGGTACCACTTGACAGGCAAACTCCATAGAGCCCCGAGTCGTGTTTGTCACATGGTAAGTCATCTCCAAATGGGCCATGGAAACAAAGAGCGGACTTCTATTCTGCTAGATCACTTGTACCTATTGGTACAGTAGCTAATTTTCAGGAAGAAATCAGACTTCAATAACGGTGGTACTCACTTTCAATTACTAAAAGGACTTATATGTTTAAGGAAAATAGTTAACTACTTAATAAGAGTATATTTTGCTTGCAAATCTGTAGGAAAGCTATTGATATTTTAAAGGCTCCAGAGCAAGGCCTCACTTATTTCGTAAGTTATAGATTAGACATGGGGAGAGGAGTGGACAACAACTAGGGCCAAAATTAAATCTAACTCTCAGTTACAAACAGCAAAAGAAATTCTCAATAAAATTTCCGATAGTTCATTCAATACGTAGTAACATACATATATTGTATTTAATATGATTATACTCTTTTAGAGCAATAATTGAGGGAGCAGGTGACAATCTTGCAAGTACAATGAAAGTTGGGTGAAGAATCCCAGGTGTACATATTTCTTAGAAATAAATTAATGTGTATTATGACTTGGCCCCTTTCACGTTGCCATTTCAAAATATCTGTGTTAGGGGCTCCTGGTTGGCTTAGTCAGTTAAGTGTCTGACTTCGGCTCAGGTCACGATCTCACGGTTAGCGAATTTGAGCCCCTGCGTCGGGTTCTGTGCTGACAACTCAGAGCCTGGACCCTGCCGCAGATTTTGGGTCTCCCTCTCTCTCTGCCCCTCCCTACCTTTGCTCCGTCTCTCTCTCTTTCTATCTCCAAAATGAATAAACATTAAAAAATTTTTGTAATTAAAAAAATTAAAATTAAAAGATGTTTCTAAAAATTTGTTTTAATGTTTATTTTTGAGAGCCAGAGTGAGACAGTGCGAGCAGGAGAGGGGCAGAGAGAGAGGGAGACAGAATCTGAGGAAGGCTCCAGGCTCTGAGCTGTCAGCACAGAGCCCAACACGGGGTTCGAATTCATGATCTGTGAGATCATGACCTGAGCCAAAGTTGGACACTTAACCGACTGAGCCACCCAGGCGCCCCTAGATGTTTCTGTTTAAATACAATGAGACACAAAGGGAGGTTGGGGGGGGTGTGGGGTTAAATAGGTGATGGGGATTAAGGAACGCACTTGTCATGATGAGCACCAGGTGATGTATGTGGAAGTGCTGAATCACTATGTTGTACACCTGAAACTAAAGTAACACTGTATGTTAACTAACTGGAATCAAAATTTTAACAAGGCCAAGACGTTTTAAATAAATAACATTAGATACAGAAAATAGAGGCAAATGCATATAAAAACGACAGAAGGAGAAAGGCTTCCTAACCAGTTGTTTCTACTTACAGGGAACCTGAGTAACATCTTCGGAGAAGCAACAATGAGGGGTTTTCGGAAATTCCGGACCATCTGTCTCCTGAGCAAGTGGAAATACTGTGCAGGAGTAGTTGGGTGTACCACGAACATGTTCACTGTGTCTCCATCCACCCCCTCTTCTACACTGTCACACATCTGGGAGAGAAATGAAAGAAACAAGCAAATGTTCCGATCATCTAATTCAATCATAAGGACACAGCTGTCCTAAGGGAAACCCATCTGTATACTCATGACTCCCAAACGATGTCTTCCGCATACTCGTCCTATATTTCTTCCCAAAACTGTAGTTTTGTATTTCACATGTAGTCTTTAACTAACCTTCAGTTTATTTATTTCTGTAATCTACTTTTTATAAAATCACTTTTCTGTATTATTACCTATCAACATAACTATCCATCTATCTACTGTTCTACAGTAGACTAAACTGTCATCTAGCTATACATTTATCTGCACATATGCTAAAACAATTAATGATATTCGTGCACTTAGGGTAATGTGTACAGATTACACATCTGTGACCTGTACGTGGACACACGTCTCCGTTTACCCTGAAATGCATCAGCAGATAATACAGATTTATAGATAGAAGAATGATAGATGAGTAAATGTGATAAAAACAAGTACAGTATAATAAAATATTAGTGGTAGAATCTAAGGGATTGGCATATGAATGTTCACTGTAAAATTTTGTAACTTTTCTGTATGTTTGAAAATTTTCTTAATACTAGGAAGTCATATGCATAAAAAGACATAGGTAATGATCCTTACCAAATATTAACTGTGGTTATTTCTACATGATTATTGAAACATTTTCTAATGATCATGAATCACTTTATAAAAAATACTATAGTTACTCAAAAATAATTTTTTAGGTAAAAATACAGGCTAGGCCACACTCTGAAGAATCTGATCTGGTGTTGGTCCCTGGATCTCTATTTAAAAAAAGCTCTGTAGATGATTTTCATTATCATCATGGTTTAGAAACCACTGATCTTTTCCATACAAGAACCACTTTTTTGCCATAAAACCACGACACTAATATACCCAAGGCATCATGTTGATAAAGAATACTGGCAGTGCATTAAACCCGTTTCATTCAGATACTACAAGGCCTTACAGTTTAAGGTACATATTAAGTATTCACAGGAGGTAGGTCTCTTTCAAAGCACCTAGGAAGCAGGGAGCGGACATACCTGCAAGAAACGCTCTATGCGACAAGAGGAGTGGTCGGGTCCAGCCCCGTCATACCCATGGGGAAGCAGGATAACAATGCCGCTCTGAAGGAGCCACTTGGCCTCCCCTGGGAAAGCACGTGACAGGGAGTGAGAACTCTCCAAAGCAGGAACAGAACCGTCTGATGTGACGTGAGTAGTGACACAAACGTTACTTTGCCGTATAATCCCCTAGAGTCGTTTTCCATTCTGTGTGCTTTCCAGCAGTGTTACGCGCTTAGGAGGACAATGTCCATCTTACCGGCTGAAACCCTATATGACACACTCACTGAACGGGCTGTGGCAGATGAGAGACAAATCACGAGGTGAATGTACCGGTTTCAAGGACAGCATGGGCCGCTCTGCTTCCTTTGCAGACACAACTCCTACTGAGCACTGGTGGCTCTTGTCTTCCCCCCACAGCACCAATTACAGCACAGCCCACTGTCCTCAGGCTGCAAGTGTGGACACTTCTGGATAGTCTCTGGACATGTCAAAGTCCAGTCTCCTCAAGGCACTTTTCTTCCCTACAACCACAAGGTCACAGAGAAACACGGCCAGAGGGACGACTGGAGTGCAAAGAATCCAAGGGGGTTGGTTACCCCCCGAAAATGGGGTGATGGGGACTCACACTTGTACCTTACATACTCTGATTTTTATAATAAGTAGGTTCTGCTTTTGTAAATGATTATTAAAAACAATAAGGGAGCACCTCGTTGGCTCAGTGAGTTAAGCATTGAACTTTGGCTCTGGTCATGATCTCAGGGTTTGTGAGTTCCAGCCCCTCTTCCAGTGGGTGAGCTGGAGCCCTGATTCCGGTGAGACCTGCTTCTCTCTCTCTCTCCCCCTCTCTGCCCCTCATGGGATTCTCCCTCTCTCTTTCTCCTTCTCTGCCCTTCATGGGATTCTCTCCCTCTCTCTCTGCCCCTTGCTCACATGTGCCCTCTCATAAAACAAAACAAAACAAAACAAAACAAAACAAAACAAAACAAAACAAAACAAAACAAGGGGTGCCCAGGCAGCTCAGTCAGTTAAGCCTCTGACTCTTTGGCTCAGGTCATGATGTCATGGTTTCGTGAGTTCGAGCCCTAGGTCGGGCTCTGTGTTGACAGTGCAGAGCCTACCTAGGATTCTCTCTCTCCCCCCCGCCCCGCCCCTCTCTCTACCCCTCCTCCACTCACACTGTCTCTGTCTCTTTCAAAATAAATAAACTTAAAAAAAATTTTTTTTAAACACAAAACAAAAAAATAAAGATGTCCCACTACCAGCTTTCAGATAGTTGAACATCCTTGGGTTGAGGGAAGTGGATTTTCTTTTCTTTCTTTCTTTCTTTCTTTCTTTCTTTCTTTATTTCTTTCTTTTTCTTTTTAATATTTTTATTTAATTTTGAGACAGAGAGACAGAGACAGAGCATGAGCGGGGGAGGGGCAGAGGGAGAGAATCCGAAGCAGGCTCCAGGCTCTGAGCTGTGACATGGGTCTCGAACTTATAAACTGCAAGATCATGACCTGAGCCGAGGTCAAAAGCTCAACTGACTGAGCCACCCAGGCACCCCGAGGGAAGTGGATTTTCAAGGCTGCCATTCACTCTGACCACAAATCTCTACTATGTCCCCACTGCCTGCTTGGTATTCATGTCACAGGTATGCAACATGCCCCAAGTGCAGACCGCAAAGTCAAACTACCTAGGAGCTGGCAGGTACATGCCCTTCTCCCTACAGCCAAGCACACTGCCCTGGAGAAAGTGCTGCCTGTACAGTGACCGAGTGGCCCCTAGCCCTCCAGCAGCTTCTGTAACCATCCAATAGCTGCCATGCCCCAGGAGATGGCAGTGCAGCCCCTAACTCTCCTGAGGGGCTGTGGTACAGCAGTTATGGCCCCGTCTCATTCATGTTTCCCCACGAGGCTGGTGCTATGCACCATTCCACATGCATTTGCTGACACCCACCTCCAGAGATGAACGTGTCAAAGATGATCTGAGCACCATTGAAGAAATCGCCAAACTGAGCCTCCCAGATGGGCAGTAACCTGGGGCTTTCGATGCTCATCCCATATTCAAATCCCAGGACAGCCTCTTCTGACAGCGGGCTGTTGCTGATCTAATTAATACAAAGGAAGAGAACAGAAACACTGTCATTGCAAGGAAAGCTGGGGACATAGATCAGTCAAGGTAAAGCGTCACAAACCTCTCAAAAAGGAGGAAGGGCACAGAAGGGAGCTTTCCTTCCAGTTATCTCCTCATTTCTTGAGAAAGGACATCTACTGCCCCCTGTGAGTGACGCATGTGGGGGAAGGTGGCACAAGGAAAGGGGGAGAAGAATGCAACGTGGGCAGTAAAGGCGATCTTTAAGGATAAGCAAAATTAATTTCTTAGATGATCTACCTTGATTGGTTAGAGTAAAACTGTATCATACAAGCTTTTAAAAAACATATCACAAAGCAAAGGGGGGAAAGTTACCAAAAGAAGGCCTACCTTTGGTAAGAATCCATTATTCTAATATCCTATCTGCACAATAAATCAAAAGAACCGTCACAGCATGTTAAGATAAAAAAGAAAAGCAGAACACAAAATTAGATCTCTGAGGGGGCAAAAGAGGACAATTAAACGCAACGTGATTCTACCCAGTCGTATGACCACATGGGTGGATCTAGAGGGTACGATGCTAAGTGAAACAAGTCAGACAGAGATGGACAAAAACTATATGATTGTGCTTAAGAGAAACAAAAAGACAAAAGTGGAAACAGACCCATAAACACAGAGAACAAACTGGTGATTGTGGAAGGAGGAGGAGCGGGGAATGGGCAAAATGGGTGGAAGAGTGTGGGAAGTACAGACTTCCAGCCATGGAATGAGTAAGTCACAGGGATGGAAGGTACAGCATAGGGAGCATCATCACTGATATTGTAATAGCGTTGTTAGGTGACAGGCGGTAGCTACACTTGTGAGCAATGCATAACACAAATAGACCTGTCAAACCACTATGTTGTACACCTGAAACTAACACAACGTTGTGTGTCAACTATACTTCAATTTAAAAAATAATAAAATAGGGGCACCTGTGTGGCTCAGTCGGTTGTGTCCGACTCTTGATTGCAGCTCACTCAGGTCATGATCTCACCATTTGTGGGAATTTTACCCTTTAAGCTAGTAGCGTCTAGCTTCTATTCTCACTGCTCCACTAAAATAGCTGTACGTGAAGTCAACTCTTGACTTTCCAGTGGCTAAATCCAATGGCCATGTTATTCTTCCTCATATTTGACTTCTTTCTTCTTCAGGTCATGACACAGTGACTCCCTGTTCTCCTCCTCCTCTGGATTCTCTCTAGGGAAATACTTTTCCCCTGCCAGCCCCTTAGAAGCTGTTTTTCCCAGGACCCTCTCCCTTGGCTCTCTTCCCATTCTGCTCTCTCCCAGGGAGATTCTCCCACCCTTGTGGTTTCAATCACTTCACCCTGATGATGTCCAAACCTATATCTCAAGATCAGATTCCTTCATTAAGTCCAGACATACATATCCAATTGCCTTTCTGTAATGGACAGAAACTTGTATGTTATTCAGCCACCTCAAAGTCAAATGTTCAAAACTGAATCCATCAGCTTTCCTTACCAAACCTGTTCCCCCTCTTTATATTTGGGTGAGTATCACCATCATATAGCAATTGTCCAAGTCAGGAAGCCAAGAGATAAGCGAGACTAGTCTTCCTCACTCCCTCCATCTACCACTAAGTCCCATAGTTGTTGTTTGGTAAATGTTCTCAAATCTGGTCCCATCTTCTGTCTGCACTGCTATTGCCCTCATTCAGGTCCATGTGATTTCCTGCCTAGACTATTGAGAAGCCTCCTTAGAAATTGTCCTACTATGGGGCACCTGGGTGGTTCAGTCGGTTGAGTGTCTAACTTTGGCTCGGATCATGATCTCATGGTTCGTGGGTTCGAGTCCCATGTCAGGATTTGTGCTGACAGCACAGAGCCTGCTTTGGATTCTCTGTCTCCCTCTCCCTCTGCCCCTCCCCACTCATGCTGTCTCTTAAAAATAAATAAACATTAAAAAATTGTTTTAAAGAAAAAAAGAAATTGTCCTATTATACCTCAATAAAGCTGGGTGGATACACCATCTGAAGTTCTCATCCATCTTCAGCTTCCAAAGTACCATGGGGAGGGTTCTTTCTGATACAAAAATCTGATCACCTGTTCAAAATTCCTCCATGGTTTCCTGTTTACATAACATTCCGAGTCTTTCACAAGGTGGGGACTCTAGCCAGTCTCCTCTTCCTGACTCGTGTTTCCACTTTGCAACTTAACCTCCAGTCACATGAAGCTATTTGTAGGTCCTGTCTTCTCACTTCACAGGCTTTGTAGGTATTATGGTGTCCACCTGGAATGTTCTCTCTATAGGCATCAGACTAGGCAACTCCTCATGTCCTTCCAGGCCCAGTTCAAATCTGGCTTCCCCTCCCAAGGTTTTCCTGACTTCCCAAGCAGATTCTCTGCACCTTCTCCTAAGCATTCATTGTCATTTGTACTCATGTATACACATATCTACTTTCATTTCTTGGATTTATTAATCCCTTTATTTATTCCAAAACATACTTGAGATGGCTCATAAATATATATGATGTACAATGTGATGATGTAAATGTACATAGAAAGAAGATAAAGATTGAGACACAGAATAAAGGGGAAAGACAGTCTGGTGGCTTACAGTCACCAGAGGTCAGTGGCCTCCACCTCTTCCTGGGAGCCATTACTGACAGAAGAACGTGGCTCAATTGCAGAATTCATGGTACACACACCATAGAGACAAACCACTGCTCAGTCAACTCAGTCAGTACCAGGACCAGTACCAAGAGCAAGCAGGAGTTCCTCCCAGGGTCCTTCATATAAAGGACATGGTTTTAATAGAGAAAAAAACTGAGGGTTGCTGGAGGGGTTGTGGGAGAGGGGATGGGCTAAATGGGTAAGGGGCATTAAGGCATCTACTCCTGAAATCATTGCTTCACTGTATACTAACTAATTTGGATGTAAATTTTTAAAAATAAAGTTAAATTATAAAAAAATAAATTTAAAAAAAAGAAACAAAAGAAATGAACAAATAGAAAAAGACACACACAAAAACAGACTATTAAAGAAGAAACTAGTGGTAACCAGTTTTTACCACTTGTAAAAACTGGTTTTACCAGTGGGGCATGGTTTTACCAGTGGGGGATGCGTGAAGTAGGTGAAGGGAATTAAGAGTACACTGATCTAAGATTAGTTGGCCATACATTTGTGGGTCCACTTCTGGAGTCTCTATTCTATTCCATTGGTCTATGTGTCTGTTTTTGTGCCAATACCATGCTGTCTTGATGATTACAGCTTTGTAGTAAAGGCTAAAAGTCTGGGATTGTGATGCCTCCTGCTTTGGTTTCCTTCTTCAATATTTCTTTGGCTATTCGGGGTCGTTTGTGTTTCCATACAAATTTTAGGATTGCTTGTTCTAGCTTCAAGAAGAATGCTGGTGCGATTTTGATTGGGATTGCATTGAATGTGTAGATTGCTTTGGGTAGTATTGACATTTTAACAATATTTATTCTTCTAATCCGTGAGCATGGAATGTTTTCCCATTTCTTTTCTTCAATTTCCTTCATAAGTTTTCTATAGTTTTCAGCATACAGATCTTTTACATCTTTGGTTAGGTTTATTCCTAGGTATTTTATGATTCTTGGTGAAATTGTGAATGGGATCAGTTTCTTTATTTCTCTTTCTGTTGTTTCATTATTGGTGTATAAAAATGCAACCGATTTCTGTGCATTAATTTTGTATCCTGCGACTTTGCTGAATTCATGTATCAGTTCTAACAGACTTTTGGTGGAGTCTGTCAGGTTTTGCATGTAGAGTATCACGTCGTCTGCAAACAGCGAAAGTTTGACTTCATCTTTGCCAATTTTGATGCCTTTGATTCCTTTTGTTCTCTGATCGCTGATGCTAGCACTTCCAACACCATGTTAAACAACAGCGGTGAGAGTGGACATCCCTGTCGTGTTCCTGATCTCAGGGGGAAAGCTCTCAGTTTTTCCCCATTGAGGATGATATTAGCTATCGGCTTTTCATAAACGGCTTTTATGATGTTTAAGTATTTTCTTTCTATCCCGACTTTCTCAAGGGTTTTTATTAAGAAAGGATGCTGTATTTTGTCAAATGCTTTTTCTGCATCCATAGACAGAATCATACGGTTCTTATTTTTTCTTTTATTAATGTCATGCATCATATTAATTGATTTGCAAAAGAATATCCAATGGAAAAAAGACAGTCTCTTTAACAAATGGTGCTGGGAGAACTGGAAAGCAACATGCAGAAGATTGAAACTAGACCACTTTCTTACACCATTCACAAAAACAAACTCAAAATGGATGAAGGACCTGAATGTGAGACAGGAAACCATCAAAACTCTAAAGGAGAAAGCAGGAAAAAACCTCTCTGACCTCAGCTGCAGCATTTTCTTACTCGACACATCTCCAAAGGCAAGGGAATTAAAAGCAAAAATGAACTAC